GGGGGGAGGCGGGGGTAAGCGGCATGGTAAGGGGCGGGGGGGGGGGTTGGATAAGGGGCAGGGAGTCCCAGGGTCAGGGAGCGGGGGTGGGGGGGTGGGAGGGGGCGGGGGTTGGGGGGGGGCGGTCAGGGGACGGGGAACGGGGGGTTGGATTGTAGGTGTTCCGGGGGTCTGTCAGGACTCGGCGGGGGGGGGGATAGGGGGTGGGGCAGGCAGGGGGAGGGGGGGGGGGGAGGAGGGGGGGGGGGGGGTTTTTTTTGGTGGGGGTTTTTGAGACATTAGGGCAGGTGTGGGCAAACTTTTTGGCCCGAGGGCCACATCGAGGTTCCAAAATTGTATGAAGGGCCAGGTAGGGAAGGCTGTGCCTCCCCAAACGGCCTGTCCCTGCCCCCAATCCAACCCCCCCCCCCCGCCCCTTACCATGCCGCTTACCCCCGCCTCCCCCCTCTCCCGGAGCCTCAGCGAGCCGCATCCAGGAGCAGCCCTGGACAGCACTGCAGCGGCGTGGCTCCGGCAGGACCTGAGCTCCTGGTGCTCGGCCCACCAGAGCTCGCAGCCCCGCCCCCTTACCACATGGCTTTGAGCGGGAGGAGCTCAGGTCCCACCGGAGCCATGCTGCTGCAGCGCTGTCCGGGGCCGCTCCTGGACGCGGCGCACTGAGGCACCAGGGGATGGAGGAAGGCAGAGGCGGGGGGGGGGGAGCCTCAGACATTCTCGTGGGGGCCCCTGCGGGGCCCGGGGCAAATTGCCCCACTTGCCCCCCTCCTTACTCACAGTATTCATTGTCACATGAATGAGTCACGCAAGAAGAAAGATTTTTGATCAGAGTGTAAAAAAGAATAAATTTTTTTAAATCTACAAGCAGAATAAAGTCATACAATGGTTTTATTATTAGCAGCAGACTCTTTCTCAGACCGTATCTATACTAAAAAAAATTGTAATTATTTTATACACTGGTGCAATGGTACCAGTGCTACCAACAGTAAGCTATAACACAGAGCAACCATTTTTCCTAGTGTAGAAACACCCTCAGTGCCAGCTCAGTGGCACAGCAGCAATATGCTTATCTGTCATGGAGAAGAACCCATTTGAATAGGACAAAGGCAGAACGTGGAGTTTAACATGCTTAGTCACATGGGGAGGAGAGAATTCTGGTCAGATGGGTGAGCAGCACATTCCAAGAGTAACTAATTACTGAAAGAGATTAGTGGATGCAATGGCGGAGGCTGTGTCCTGCCTCCTTGGTGATAGGACGAGAATCATTCTGGCTGAAATAATTGGGGAGATGGGAGGGAAAAGTCTCCTCCTGAATGATAGCATAGTCTTAGTTTATGTTCCAATTCCTGGGCTAGGGCATGCTGCCAGAAATAAGGTCATTATAGTTCTGAATCTAAAGCTTTTGGCAACCCAGCTACAGCAGGATTTATGTGCCTGTGTTTTACAGCCTGGTTAGTATATTTCACTCAAGCTTATCATCTGGTAAAGCATACTTCAAGGCCATCATGAATCATCACGAGCTAAGTCTTCTTCAGTAATTTGGAACAGCTGGTTTAAAAAATAAATAAATACAGCAAGCAAGCAATCAACTAGAAAGTCCAAGGCAGAAATCTAACACTTAACCCTTTCTGACCCATTCCCTTACTTTACTGTCAACAATATCCTGATTGGGATTCTTCCCATTTATACTTATTTTTATTTGGCTCAAAGTTGAGAGCCCATCAGTGAGAAGATTTTTGAATCTGATTCAGTCTTAAACAGAATCTCTTGATATACAGCACAATGAAAACTGTAGTTATAAGAGAGGATATACCTGCAACCTCTATCAGGAGAGGTTGGCTACAAACAGTTGGAAGCAGCATTTTCTTTAGGTAGAATAAGAGATTATATTAAAAAACAGATTCCCACTGGATAATCTACACTTTGTGATGGGTCATACAGGACATCACCACATAACACTGTAAGGCTAAATATTATATCACTCTTGTGCTGGACTCTCACCCAAGTCTATCTGCTGCCATGAAAGTGTTCTGTAAAAATCAGAGTTGTATCACATTGTGGAATGTAGCATGCATGGCCCTGAAGAAAAAGGTGCAGCAAATGGCCATAACATGTCACTGTTAAACAGCATTCGCACACATGGGATTCTGAAACAATTACAAGAAAATTTCTCACTGCTTACCAGAAAATGTTCTTTCTTCTCATAGGAAGCTCTAAATACCCTAGCAGTGGTCCAAACACCCGAGCATACCCCATTGCTTGGGATTTTCCACCTGCATCATGCTATGAAGATAGAACCAAACCCATCTATCAGAGGCAGAGGGGAGTGCCCATTGCTACTCCACAAAGAATCTTCCATATCGAGGTAATTATCACAGCCAAAACTACTTGTGTTTCAGCATAAAAGGAATCAAATAACTGTGAGGCTACGAATACGTTCCTGACAAATGTCCTACTACAGATCATGCAAATATTATCACATCTTCCAATATCCACATCTGCCCAAGCTTAATCCATAATCTGGAAACTAATTCCCCAAGGGTGAATTGGATTTGTGGACTTTCCTACTAGATGGGAAGAAATTCTCAGTTAAGTATAGAAACATGGATACATGTTTCCATTTTTCTGTGCAGTCAGGTCCACAGAGTCTAAAGTGGGATTCTTTTAAGTAGTGTGGCTTCAGGGAGGGCAAGAGGAAAAGTTAACCCTGACTACATACAACATTTACAGTGAGTCTCTCCTCACTGAGGAGCAACTGCTTGCAGGAACCTTTCAGCAGAATGCAGCATCCACTGATGCTTGTTGAATTTCTGAAGACGTGAACTGATGACCATGTAGCCATCCTGCAAATCTTTTGCTAGGAGAGCTTGCATAGGATCCTTCTGCTCTCAGACAGTGTGTCCTAAACTTGCAAAGGGGTACAAGGCATTTGGACTTGTAGGCCTCTGAAATTGCCCATCTTATTGATCCACAAAAGGATGCTTTAAAAGCCTTCCTTCCCTTGGCAGATGGATGGTAGAGAACTAATAGGGCATTGCTCAGAAGCTAACCCAGGAAGGGTTTCAAGAGCATCCCTTCCTGTCTGAGTACAGCAATCAGGACCTTTGCATATATCATGGGCGGAGGGAGGAATATTGAGGTGTTGCAAGCCACATAGCAAAATGTAGGAATTCCCAGTGTGATGACCACATCTAGGATCTCTCTTGTGAAACAGGCAGAAGCTACTGTGGCTTTCAGGGCTACAGAGGCTGCCTTGAAATTCCACCTCAATGAGGTATCAATGCTGGGGTATCCTTCAGCAAAAAGCCCCTTCAGCAAGGACAAGAGTGTCCAGAGGAAGATGTAGAACTTGCAACAAACTGCCTCAGAAGTGTTTCAAATTATTCAGTGCTACGTGTCCTCTTCTTGGGGCGCAAGCAAGAGAAGCAAATCTGTACCTTTCCCTTCTCACCAGGCTTGTCTGGCATTTCAGGGCCTCTTGTGGTGCTGCAGAGGCACAGAATTAAACTTGTCTGCTCTGCCTGGTATGCACAGGTTTGGTTCTGTCCCCAAAGCTGCAAGTATGCTGAAGGCACACTGGGCAAAAACCTGGCTCCACTGAAGTCAATGGCAAAATTCCCATTAATCTCAACAGTCAGGATTTCAACCATAGTGAGGACCTGTGGACCTGCATGCATAGAAAAATTAATATTTTAAAGTTATGTAATGAGCTTTCATTATAGTTGATTAAATATCACTGATGAACATACTACCTAGCAATGTAGGTGTTGGCAT